AGGGCCTCGGGGAGCGGTGACCATCAGCCCCCCGGCTTTCAGAATTTATGGAAGCGGGAGGAGTTGGCAGGGACCTTCTGTAAAGGTCACAGGACACTTCCTGCTACAAAGATTCTGCAGACTCGGGAAACCCTTTTGCAGCAGGGAGGGCTGGCATCTTCCCCTGCTGATATTTCAGCACCAGGAACTGCCTCCCCTGCCCGCGGCACTGTGCCCGCCTCCACAGGAGGGTCCCTTCCTCCTGCCCACCGCAGCCCCAGGTAACATTCCAACCCCCGCAGCCAAAATATTGACTGCTGTTGATCCACGTCTTGCCAGGGAACACGGCCCCAGCAGCACCTTTATCAATCACCCTGGTGCAGTTTAAAGGGAGGAGGAGGCCAAAGCAAGCTCCTGAGCGCTCCGGCAGGCCCTGGCTGTGGAAGGGCAAGTTGCTGCCTAGCCGGGCAGTGCCTGGGCAGCGTTTCCTCTGCCAGCGCCGGCTGCGACCTCGGGAAGGAGCTGCTGCCCCTCCCCTCTGCCACAGGACTCTTATCTTGTGGAGTCCGGATTTACCGGCCAGAGGGTCGAGGCTTGATGCCTGACCTCGGATTAGCTGTGATGATCCCCTGCAGCCCCTAAATTTCCGCCTTCAAGCTTGCTGAAATCCAAATCGGAACGAGTAAGGCCGCGGCACAGGTGAAACACAAACAGCAGCGAAGGAGGCGCTTACCAACTCTCAGATAGTGCCACTGTCACTAGCAGCTTTCTTCTGCCTTTGGGTGTTCCTTCAGGAATAATTCAACGGCACTGGACTCTGGGGAACAATGGAGAGAGGCAGCCTGTGCTCAGTGACTCGGATGCGTTACGCTCTCCTCTAGCCGCAAGGCCAACGTCACGCTACAGGGCCATCTGGAAACCCGCACGCAGGGGGATCCTTTTGCGCAGGGCGTGAGCAGTGTCAGGCTGTTGCCAAACCCCCAGGCTCTGATTCTCGATCCTTACTTCACCTACTTGCTCTCCTCTTTACTTACGCAGCTGCGACCCCTCCTTGGCCATTGCAGCCACGGCGTCCTCACGGCTCTCGAAATGCACGTCCACTTCTCCCGTGGCATCGCCGTGGGAGTCGTATTCTATCATGATCCTGGTGGGTTTCAGCGGAGCGAAGAACTGGGAAGGAGGGAAACAGAGTTTGCCGTGAAAGAAACAGCAGAACAGTAACATGCCCTCCTATCGCTAAACTTGATGGCTTTATGCATGAAGCCTGTCCGTTGGGGGGGAGGGGTCCGAGTCTCGAGTAGCAGAAGGCCGCGGGTGAAGCTGAGGCAGACCCAAGTCCCCTGTCCCAGGCTGCGCAGCCTCCCGCCCCCAGAGCTGCCAGCAGGGTACAAACCCAAAAATGCTCACACGGCACGCGTTCTGTACGCAGCAGTCGCTAAGTGCGGGTACACTCGCTCTCTGACGCTGTTCACTACGCAAATGAAGTAAAACTGATACCAAATAGATTCTGAAATTCGCTTTTATGCAGTCGGCTACTCAAAACCTAGCTCAGATTATAAACGGCTACTCAAGTCCACGTGACGGCTATCAGGACAGCCCAGCCAGCTTCAATCTGTCCTTATTTACAGCGGCAGGCACTGTACCCACGAGGCCACGGCCGCCCTGGGGAGGCTGTAGCCCTCAGCGAGCTCAAGGTGCCCAGCACAGGCAGCGCCGAGGAGCAGCGCAGACAATCCGACATCACATCACCAGTCACAATGGATCGAGGGTTTGCACAGGTAGTGACCATCAGATTTCATTCCCAGTTTTACTCACGTTGATGATGTCTTGGGTGCTAGCTTGGGTAGGAAAACCCCGCATGTGGACAAAGTGTGGTGACAGTGAGACCTTCCCAGATTCCAAAACGTGCCTGGAGCTCTCTGTTTCTTTGCTGTGCAGTTCTGCGGAGGGAAAAAACCCACCATTGACACAATTCTGCGCTCCCTCACGTGAAAGCTGTAGGCATGCGGGATCGTGCTCACAGCAGACATGAAGAAACCCCAAAGAACACGCAGGACAAGGAGGGACTCACTGTTTTCTCTTTCAGCATCGGAGCTTCCCGTGTCGCTCGATCCCCTTCCTTCCGAAAGGGATTCACATTCTTTTCTCATTCTGGAGTAGGTCGCCATCCGCCTGTCGTAGGGCATGTGCCTTTGCATGTGATGCTTCCTACTTACATACACTTCGATGTACCTGGAATTCAGAGGAAGAGGTTCCACGGCACGTCCTGCACCTCCACCAAGAACCCCAGGTTCCGAGGAAGTACCTTCTGCTACCTCAGCTCTGGCCCTTGGCGGCAGCGAGAGCCACAGTACGGCAAGCGACAGCGGTGAAGAATCAGCTCGTTTGCAGCGCACAGTTATGCTTGTGAAAGCCCCTCTCCTGGCTAAACCCACATACTGCGGGGCGGAGTGCCAGTCTGGGCTGGACTACGTCTTTCGTTCACAGCCTTATACACAGTTCTGTACAAGTAATATCAGTCACAGCCAAAATCCTGGTTTGTCCCAGAAATACAGATTTATTGCCTCTGAAAAAAGTGTTTCCTTCGGTAGTGTCGCTTTTGAGCAGCCCTGTACGTGAGACTCGCTTCCCCTCGCTGCAAACTGCACTATTCCCACCCCTACAAACCCCAGATTAAAAACCCACCCAACCCCCAAACAGGTTAGTTAAACAGATCACTGAAACAGGCCGACATAGGATGCACAGGGGTGTGGAGCCATAAAATTTTACGTATTGCTATGTAATTGAGGGGATAGAACATAACAGGGTGTGTGTGAAAGTCATGGGTATAATACACTGATGTGAGGCTTGGAGCAACCTGGTCTAATGGAGGGTGTCCCTGCCCACGGGAACTAGAGGTGGGAACTGGATGCTCTTTAAGGTCCCTCCCAACCCAAACCGTTCTGTGATGAATAAGGGACTCAAGCAAGATCCCACTTACGTGGCAGAAGGAAAAACCAAAGGCCACAACAAACCCTCATTTGCAGGTTTAGTTGTAACGTTATGCTGCGATGTCTTACGTTTATATCCCCCAGCCCCAGAACCTTAGAGCAGCCTCTGCTCATCTCTCACAGCTGGCAACAGCAGCAGCTGGGCCTCACGCAGACTCACCTAGCAGGGAGCCGAGTCCAATGGTCTCCACAGCGCGGCAGGAACAACGCCATGCCGGAGGGAATGCAGCCGTGCAAGTGAGCAGGCTTTCCTCCCGCCCTGCGGAGAGCAGCTGCAGCAAGGGCAGGGACTGACAGCTCAGCCCCCGCATGGCACTGTGCACAGCTGAAGGCCACGTCCAGTAAAAATCCACAGCCAGGAAAAACGAACCAGAGCAAGGCGAGGGCACTTTTGTAAGGCACTCCGTTTCCTGGCTAATCCCACAGACCCAGAGGGGTACGAGCTCTGAGGGCAGGGGGAGTCAGGTCAGCTGGTCTGACCGTGACAAAGAAACAATTAACAGCAGATTGACAATCACTCTCCCCTGGAGGGCAGGGCAGGGCGGTGGTCAGCTCAATTACTAGACACACCTACAGCCGTTTTCCTTTAATACTGACTGGGGGACACACACACAAGGAAACGCAGCCTGGGAGCAGGAAGCAAGGAAATGGAAGGAGCTGTGTACAAGTGGGAAGGTTAGGAGGGATCTTCTGTTACTCTGTTTAGAACGTAGCGGGGTACTAAAGAGACGTCGGAGGGCTCAGCAGGGTAACTGCAGGCTTGCTGGGGTTTGTTGGCTTTTTCCCTGGGCGCTGCCCTGGAGGTGTCACAAAGACACTGATGTGTGGTGCTTAGGGACGTGGCCTAGCGCTGGACTGGGCAGTGCCGGGTTAACGGCTGGACTCGACGGCCTTACAGGGCTTTTTCAGCCTGAATTATCCTGCAGTTCCCGGAAAAAGCACTACGTGCTTCTACCTGAGAAAGAGAAGCTCTTGTGGGAGAAGTGTGTGTGTGTAGTACAGGGTCCGTGCCCTGGAGGAAAACGGTTACAGGTGGATTCCTGAGGAAGGACAGCGCAGGCGGACGCGGCCACCAACGAGGAGGAAGAAGGTATGGTGTCAGCCAGCAGTCAGCGTTGGGAACGGATTCAAGCCGGCGGTGAGGGGTACACCATGCTGTGTGCACTGTACCCTCCCAGCAGAGATGCTGACTGTGCCTGGTGCTGAGCTCAAGGGAAGGGTAAGGGTTGCCAAAATTGCGGAGAGCTCCAGAGAACCTGGTGGAAGTTTGGCAGGGGTGAACATCTGTAGGAGGCACAGGATCCCACTGTGCTTGTGAGGGGGCAAGTGGAGTCTGTCTTGGGTTCTCTGCTCGGAGTACTATCATCCCCTTTTTGTTGGGGTGGGACAGCCTTGAGGCACACTTCAAGAACTGAGGCTTTCTCTGAGGGGCCCCAAATCACCCCAAGCTACGAGCGCTGAAGGTGCCTCTGCAGCACACGGACATCTGTTCTCCGCTTTCTCCAAGCGCCAGAGGAGCCATCACCGGAGGAGGTAACGCGTGGGTTACGCAGAGGATTTTGGAGGGTGCTATCGAAAAGGAAACGTTCTAAGCCACAAAGCAACAGCCTGACGCCGCACTGAGAAAGGCTTGGCTGTGATTTCTACTGCCGTTGGAATCTAAAGCCTGAGCTGTAGCTTTCAAGGGTAATGAAGGCAGAAGCTTCCTTAGTAACACTGTGAGCATGGGATAGGCTAAGAGTGGCTGTCTCGCCCGGTAGGAAGAACGCCCCACGTCACACAGGCGTGCCTCGCGCCGTGTTCGAACCGCGTAAACTCCCGTGCCGCGCTTACCTATTTCCAATGTACTCCTTGTGTCGTAACAGGGCTTTCGCTGCCATGTCAGGAGCTGCAAACTGCACAAAAGCTTCTCCCGACCTTCGTTCTCCCCGGTACACAAAAGCTATGTCAATTATTGTCAAACCTATGGAAGAGTGGGGAGAAAGAGGCATTTACGTTGTCGGGAACTTGTGCCGTAGCTCAAGGAGACACTTACTCTGGTTTTTGACAAGCAAATCAGGCACTTAAGTAGTTCTGAAACAAGACCTATGTACCTTTGGTCTTTAATCCAATTTACTGGATTTAAGTTAGTTTTCACAGAAGGCTTAAATAGTGAATCCAAGTTCTAGACAACAATGAAGCCCAGAGCACAGATGTTCTTCAAACTTTTACTATTCTGGTAATTTTTCCTATCTCTTTAAAACCCAGGTCAACTTCACTGAACTTCAGTGCTTTTGGGCTGGACAGCATCTCCTTGGGGAGCCTGTTATCCAGTAAATAGCTGTATCTGCCATGATACACACTGCACACTGGGCTGGGCTTCAGGAATTCTTGTTTACCTACCTCTCTCTGCCCTGTTACTTTCTCAAAGGGTGTCCCCAAGCTCCTAAAGAAATGTATATATTTGCTCCAAAATGCTGCCCTAGTCACCTCACTGCGACATCTCTGCTACTAGACACCTTCAACCATATTGAAATACTGGTTAGCAACTGGAAAACTTCCTATCAGTGGCCTTTGCTTTTGGCACGATGGTGGTTAGTATGCGCCTTAGTGCTGCAGGACTCTGGGCATGCCTACCTGGAATAGAAGAAGCTGGGGGGAAGCAGTTTTGGTTTAGTCTACAATGTAAACGTTACCTAAGGAAATGCCCATTTACTTTGCAAATGCTAGAAAGGCTTCCTTCCTAATGAATGCAGGCAGCAACCATCCGGACCGCTCCAGCACTGAGCGCGGGAGACGAGCACGCGCACTGTGCAACGCTTCCTCAGTGGAGAACTGGTGCTGGTAACTCTGACACCCACCAACAAGCCAGCGGTACAAGACACCCTGCTGTTACCAGTTTTAAGTAACACGTGTGACCTGTCACGATCACACAGCTGTGCCCACCCACGCTGCATTCACTGATATTGTAACTCTCACACAGGCCTTTATGTCTCTCCCCACTTTACCAAGTTACACACTGGTAGTGACCCAATTGCAGGTAACAGGATCTAGGTTCCTCTCTTTCCTTTCCCTGGACCCAAAAGGAGTGCTGCAAGCACTGATCCTAGATTTGACCTGCAGCAAGTCAAAGGTGCAAGAAGACGCTGCAGCCAAAAGCTTGTTCAGAAAGCTTTAGTTAGTTCTTGCTGCAGGGGGCCAGCAACTCCGTACATGGTTTAAAGTGTTCAAGGCTGCGTGTGCTTCTCCTCTCGCTCAGAGGAACAACAGCCTATCTAAGCATCACCTCGGGGCAAGCAAATGCCTCATAACTGAGGAGCGCAGGCTCGGGCGAGTTACCTGAGAAAAAATCTGTGATGTCTTCCTCAGTGGAGCTGAACGGAAGGCCTCTGAGTAGTACAACTCCATCTTTTATGGCTTGTGACTCGTCCTGCAGGTTTCGTAGTAAGCCCTCAACGTCGCTATCGTGTACTTCAAAAACTGCAAGGAATACAGGCACAAACCATGTCCTCCTTGTGCTACCCAGAAGGTCGCATGCTGCAGGCCACCTTCTAAGGCAGCTTCCATGCCCGCAGTCCCCCTGTGTCCCCCCCTAATATTTCTTCTCCCACCTGACACTCTGTGGTCCCGCAATGGTGCCCGTTGGCTTAATGGGGCCTTGTTGGCTAATCTGCTGCCCTGTTCAAGACCCTGCAGCTCTCCACACCAGCTGCTTCGTCAGTCAAGCAGTTCTTAGTCACTTCACTGTGAATCTTCTTCCAACCTAGCTTCTGGGTTTCACACCCACCTTTCACGTAGCGTGGGCCCATGTACCTCAGGTGCTTTCCCAAGGCTCTCTGGACGTCCTCTTTCGACTCCAGCTCGATCAAGGCATCCCCCTTGGGTCTCCCATCGCTGTTTAAGAGGAAGTGGATGCCGTTCTCACCATTTCGAATTCTACAGTCTGGAAATCAAGAAACGCACGTTACAGAAACATACAGAGCTGCATCGAACGCGGGGCTTCTGACGGCAGATGGAAACTGAACGTTCTGCGCAGGGCCATCGCCGCAGCAGTGCAAGATACTGCACTGAAACAAAGCACAAGAAGTCTTTTTTTGAATCTCCTCTTTCTAGCTTTAACTCTAACACACAACGCTTACTCCTAGTAAGAAACTGATTTGGTATCCACTAGCTTCCACTGCTGTACTACTGGACAACATACAGTCTCATACTGCCTGCAAACTTAATTGTTTCTGAGTTATCTGGAATTAGGAACAAATATAGCTATAGAGTCTGGAATTATTCAGTCTCTATAGCTATACTCTCTATGTTGCCTGCTCCATCTTCCTTTCCCCTAGGACTTCAAACTGATTTAAGTGAATTGGGCAGGTTACTAAACCATTTCAAGATGTGGATCTGACCATCTATAGTCTACTGTGGAAGGATGCATGGAAGTATTACACCATGGAGAGAGCAGCCCTGCCAAGGCAGGCACTAGCCTATTATTTAGGATCAGAAAGCAACACTGAAGTGTAAACTAGCAAGTAAAAGACACCCCAGTTTGTTTAAAAGAGGTGAGTTGAGGAAAAAGCCAACCATAATGGTCCTTAAAGGAGCTACTTCAGACTGGATTGCCTTTACTGCGGAGACATCGACTGAGACGGAAAAGACTTGCTCAACTGAATGCCACAAGAGTGAGTTTCTAGTCACTGTCCAGCAGTCTGGAGGTTAATCGTTTGCTTTCTATGTGTAAATGGGGAATACTTTTGCAGCAATATTAAACCCTCATCTTTCTCTGGCTAAGGCTCTTTGATTTTTCTGTCAACTAGTCATTAATTACTGGGTTCAGTAACACCACGCCGAACAGTTATGCAGGAAAATTATCTCCCTTACTATCAAAGAAGTTGAGCACGTCTTCCTCGGTGCAGGAGAAGGGGAATCCTTGTGCCCTGATGAGAAAGACGTTGTCATTTTCTCCCTGGGGCGACTGTTCCTGCTCCGAGAGGTGACCTTCCTGGGAGGACGCGTCTGTAACCTGTCAGCGGGAAGACCCCAGCGAACCCCTCGCGTTAGAAGGGGAAGCGCACGGCTCCGGCCGCCTCCCAGGTAGGCGCGGGGCGGGACGGGGCAGGGAGAGGC